CCATACCGCTGATCCTCCCCAGTTCTATTATGGTGCCCCTGGTTTTATTGGGAAAAGTTTTTTCCTATCGCAATTAGGTTCTGGCAATCAATATGAGGCTCCTTTCGGTCAGCTATTGTGAATATCCACTTTGGTAACCGTCTCTATTGGTATGGACAAAGAATGAGTAACCTTGTGAGAAAAAAGAGCTAGCCTCTTGTCAAGAGCATGAAGTACAATATCATTATTTCCCAATCAATTCGGCTTACATGGATCCTTGATTGCCAGTTGAAAAGACGCCAAACGATGCAGGGCGTTGCGAACAGTGCTGCTTGTAGCATCAGAACAAACGGTATCCATTGGTAGTAATAGATTGCTGTGCGCTCTCGCTGCTCGTATTCCGTGGGCACCGTGGTCTCTGTTGGTGGGACGAAGTAGGTAGTCGTCACCCAGCACAACGACTCGGCGTACTCCTCCTGAGCCCCTGTGAACTCATTTGGCGTCCAGCAGGAAATCGGCTTCCCGACAAACTGGCGGCCAAGTACAACCAGAGTGCATAGCATCAGCACCATTGTGGTGTAGGCATGATTGGCTCGGTCCACGAGGTCGTCGTCGCGCCGATGCTTGATAGAGCCTGCTTCTAAACTTAGCCTCGTGAGGCCGGACAAGAAGCCAGCCTCCAGCATCGTTTCAGTAGCGAATCGACTCTAATTTTGCATATACTACTTTTGCCTTAGTCAGTAGCATCAAATATGGTTAATGCTCCTGCTGCTTCTTTTGACTGTCTTTAAATGTCGGAAAATCGTCGCTCAAACAACAAAGTCACCTGCTGCCACCTCACGTCTGTTGCATCCGCATGGACCAAATCACAACACCGGCGCCTGCCCCTCGTGACGGGAGTCGAGCCGTCTGCACTGTCCAGCCCTGGCTGGGGGTCTAATTTAGCCGTTTGTCAGTCGAGAGCTGACGCGTCTGCATTTGCGTGTTTGCCTCGTCTTCCTTTACTCTCTTTGCCCACTCAGTCCTCGTCTGACTCGGGTCTCTTCTTCACACCAACTCCCGCCTCGCGCTTTGTTGCATTTTCCTACGGCTCGATATCCCCGAGTGGCATGCCGTCCCAGCTCGTCTGAGCCCTGAGACAGACGGACACGCCATAGCGACAGGTTTGGCCAGGCTGCTTCCGCAGATCCCTTGCACTAGCCTCATTGGTTGGACGCCATTCGTCTGGCATGGCATCGTGCTACCTCACTTCCTCTCACTAAGAGTCAACGCTTGAGCTTCCTCTATCCCGCTCTCTGTTGGTATTGCTACTGAGCCCTGGACCTACTGCCGGCCCTCCAGTTGGCCATTCCTCTGAAAACGTCCCAGTTGTCTCATCTTACTGCACTACGCGCATACACGAGCCCATTTCAGACATCATCACCGTCTATCCATCCGGTACCAGTACGAGTATCGATAGCTGTACATGCATTCCATGTCCATTTGTTTGCATATATTTTTTCCCACCTGAATAACCCATCCGTCTACACGTCTATCTATACTTCTATACTTGTCTACTCCTTAATAAGGAATACTCTTTCTGTTGACCTGTCGGCAAGGCTGTACGATTGCACGCACGTCTATTCGTTGCCCATCTGCTCCGCCTGTACCACACTCCTACTGGTCTGTTAACCAACAATGGCTGACCAGCTTGCAAGCATTATATTCTTGGCCTTTGCTTCACCCACTAATAACCGAAATGCTTTGTAGGGACTTTATTAGTTGTAAGATTGGAATTTGATGTCATCACATTTACTAACCAGTCCGACTAGTTCCCGGTTCTCAGTCGGACCGACCACAATTGTAGGTGACAAACTATAATTATCTTATTTCTCTCTCTTCCACTTGTGGTCTCTTGGTTCTCTGTCGGCAGGTTCCGCTTACAGGGCGACTCCAACATCCATCCACGACCGGCTGACACGGTTTGGTTCGACATCAGGACGGGCTTCGGATGTGTAGGGTTTTTCTGGTTGAATCTCTCTCTCTCTCTCTCTCTATCTATCTCTCTCTCTCTTTCTTGCCACAATCTGAAGTGGGATTGACCAGCCTGGCTAGGCGAGTAAAGATAGCCCTAGTTGGATGAGGGGCTGCTCATAAGATTATCTACTTCCCGAACAGATGGAGGCGAGCAGTTGACAGAGGCTGGACTACGAGTTTACAGGCGAAGCGAGCGAACCCATGGGCTGGCTTCAGAAGTATATCGGAGAGTCAATGTTTATCCTTATTTTCGTTTAAGCCTTTTTCTGTTAAGCATCCTGTTAGAGTAGGTTTTGCGGCTACACTTCTTAATTATGTGACAATTTAATCCTTTGATTAGCGCCGCCAGCCAGAACAGTAAAAAAAGGTATGAATATCAAGATGGCGTGGCCCTTGGTATCGTGGCAGTCTCCTTTCGATTTATAGGAGTGGGTGCACTTCATTTTCGCAACTTGTTCTTGCTGTTTTGGCGACTTAGTTGAATGCACCTTGTCCGAAGTCCTCAGCCATAATAGTAATCATAACTCCCAGCATCAGACCGTTGAATTGGTACATTCTCAGACGTTTCGCCGGCATCGTAGTCGGCATCATCAGTGAGTCTTGCCATT